CAAATGGCAAAAGTAGATTCCGAAATCAACTCCAACTTCCAACATTAAAAGCAAGTCCAACACCCGCAATCCATTCTACATTTTATCCTCGACGTAAACTTCAATTGAATTTTTCTCGCTCATGAATGGGGAAATATGTATCAGGTCAATAAATATTACTTGCTATTATAAGAATTTCGACTAATTACAAAGATTTCAGTTAGGATTCAAACCTTATGATTGAATGATAAACTGATAGAGGGTAAAAAATAACTCCACTTGAGAGTTGCCACAAAGCGAGTTAAGAGTCCAAAATGTGCCGATTCTCAGTAGAATTAAGCACTTGGAGGAAACCTCCGAGCCGCCATCGACAGTTTCAATGTTACCTGACTGGAATGCAAACAGACAGTATTCTGAACCACCAATGATGTCAAACACACTTCCTCCTACTTGGCTACGATAAACCAATGGCCAAAACGATTATCAAGATCTAGTTAAGCCAATCTAGTGAGAAACTCGACTTCTACAGTACCTCCATTAACTTGACCTAACCAGCTTATTTCACTTAGCTAGAGCGAATCAGGGACACATAGTGCGATAATCGAGGTCAAGGACAGACAGACTTGGCAGATCGACAGGATTTCTACCTAGGATTTTGTTTAAACACCCCAATCGCTCAATTATGCGACTCTGCTCCTTTCACTATGATAACTAGAGTCACACATCGAATTATGACAATCTGGCCCACATGCTCAATTTAGTTTTGACTTTATTTGTTTCACCCAAATCTACCTACCAAGTTTAGCCTTATAATCAATCAGCATTACTGGTGCAATGGATAGCAACCCTAGTTATCTCCTGTATACTCAAATACACCCCAAACATCTAAACACAAACAACGTTTGCAAATAAAGAAGAAAGGTCATATCACATCTTACCAATTCCAACGTAGATCAAAGAGATTGTCAAACAAAGTAGACACCATACACCTGACTTACACACATTCAATTCTCCACAATTCGTAGCCATAATATTTCGACCCCATTTGAAAAGTAGTACACGAGCAATGGAAAATAAGTGATTTCAATCACGTGGACAATCAAATAATTAACTCCACAATTAAAGCGCTGATTTCACTTTAGATGGGATAGTGATTCAATCGTCACGAGGAAATCACCATACTGTTATATAAACTAATGCAAGTGAAATCGATGAAAGTTCTGATGAAAAGGCCAATTTTCGGGCCCTATCGATGACTTCAAATCACGGCTGACGACAAGTTACTGCGGTAAATTCACACAAAGGGGGATAAAGTTAAAATTCTGGCAAGTGCGAGAAGCAGCTGCATTTACTGAAAAAGGGGTTTTGGTCTAAACGTTTTGGGAAAAGTGCATGGTTCAGTTGCATGACACTAAACGAACCAATTTAAATAAAGCAACAGGAAATGAAGGCATGATATATAAAGAAGGATACTATAGAGTAACCACTTGGTGGCTACCATAAAGTGAGTCAAGTGTAAAACTGTGTCAATTTAGATAAACATTAAGTTCTTATTTTCAACTCTAGTTGCAAAGTAGTACGCATTCCATGCAATGGTTAACATGTACGTCTAACTGGCCAAGGGTCACGTGAACAGCCTCCACGTTTGCACGTCGAGTGATGTGGATGACCAACTGCAACGCTAATTGCAAAGAATGAAAAGGGATTGTAGAATGGGCATTTCTTGCAACAGGTAACTCCGTGGTGCCTACCAAACACTTGACACGAACTACACGTTAGCTGGACACAAGCGGATCTGCATATGTGTAAACATGTTAAGTGAAACCAAGTCCGAAATCGAGTGTATGAGCATGCGTTACCTGTGGCCATTGGCAATCGGAAAGATTCAAGTGAATTTAAAGCCACTTTCAAACTCCAATTTGTACGAAAGGCAATGGATGGTTAAACAGATTTTGAAGCGAAAAATGAGATAAAGAAGAGTTTAATAAATAGCTGAAGTAAATGCCCCAAAATTAGAATCAGTTCAATTCTAGTTGCTTTCACATATGTCTGAAAGTAATTAAAAAAAAAAGTTCAGCTTACATTTGAAGAGCTCAGAAACCCCGCAGCTCTGCAAAAGTGTTTCCTCGTGGGTATCTAGGAAAAAGAAAACAATGTGGGGATTATTTTAAATGCGACAACAAACCACGTTATTTCCGCCTACTACAAAGGAATTCATCATTGGAGTAAAGTTAAAACAACTTTTAATGAGAATGGCTTTCGACCACCCTCTCCATCCTAACCCACCCTCCCCCCCCCCTCCCCACACACCACACATTGACCACATGGAAGTAAATATGAAAAACAAAAAAAAATGGTCGTACACTACCTACGTCAATAGGCTAAAAGTGGACACATTGTCATTACCTTTGACAAGGAAAAGGTTCAATGAGATAGGAGGGTCTGAGCGCAAGGCAGAGTGGGAGATAATGCAAATGCAGGACATAAACAGTCCACCTCATTCAACTTTATTGATTTCAACACTTCTCAAACATCCAATGCATTTTATGCAGTCCTCTTCTCTTTTCTCCAGACTGGATTTCAGCTCTCTGACCATCATCTGAGACTTGTTACTCTCTCCATTAAGCCCTCATTGTTGAACGAATTCACGCTATATGCTAACACTTCAACTCGGCAATAATTTACTAAATCTTTATCAACTACCTACTTCACCATCCACTATTCTTCACTCTAGCATATACCAAGAAACCAGAGTCAGAGTTTATAGAATGCCTAAGAAGACTCGCTTCCAAATATTTTTTTGCATCAGATCAGGTGAACAACGCGAAAGTCGGTCGTACGAATATTCCCCTCAATCTCAAAGCCCATTTCGTGAGAGTCCATGCAAGTTTTCTGCGAGTTACGATCAGAAAGTTGAATGTGCCAAGTGAAATTTCATAAAACCCCATCAATCAGACTAAAAGCAACAATCCATTGACTCGGCTTAAATCTCCTCTGAAAAGACCTCAACCACTACGGACTCATTACTTTTGGAAGCGGCAAGATTATTTTATAGGTCCTCAACGTCTTCCGAGCCCATCGAAGAGACACATATTCCACTCACCTTCCCCATTCCATCAAGACGCCAACTTTTCAAAGAAAAGAAGTAGACTTCATGACAATGCTAACAGTAAAAAGGGATAAAATAGAATGTCAGATCAACAACTAAAACGCAACTGCAAATGTTAGATTTAAATTCAATTCGACATGCCGCCAAAGGAAATCAGATTAGGCTACTAAAACTCACTTGGAAATCTGCTGGGACCTAAAATTGCAATAATATCCTAATTAAATGGGCAGCTTGCATCATCAGCCAATTAGTCGCAACCAGAATGTCAGAGCATCGCTCATTCTCGAGAATGATACATCAAGACAATTCACCATTCCCTTTTCGCTTTGTGGCTATGCTACTGATGGGGCAAACGAATGCTGGCTCCTAATGTGCAGTTGTCATAAATTGCAAATACCTCTCTCACATTCAATAACAATAATCGCGATGTCCTCATCATCAATTCTATTGACAGCATCGCGATGGCAAATCTATACAAGTGTTCTTTAGCCTACATTACCATTTACCCCACCACTCATTTTCAGTTGCAGACTTCTGCTTACCCATCGCCTTGGTAAATATAGGCCAATTTCCACTGGCATAAAAAGCAGCACATTCATCTCACCCGGAAAAAAGGTCTTAAAGAGGTTTGAAAACGACATCAACAACTCCCTTACTCTCCACTGCACTGTCTGCTTGGGCATTCATCCTCGTCACTACCACTTCAGTATTTTAGAGCATACACCTTACACCGTTTTATGACTACTACTTGGGAAAGAAACAACGGAGATTCCATTGGAAAGAACTATGAAAACACTCGTCCCAGGCGATAATCATCAGCAAGCCTAATCACATATTCAAACCCTTGATTACCCTTGCGGATTTCAAACGCAACGACTATTTCTACCATTATCGTCTCATTAATTCTTCTCGTTCATATCTTCTATCTCCATTTTAAGTCACACACAAATTATCATACCTAAATCCACAAGAGTTGCTTAAATCAGAACCTGACCAGACAATGTCCATATTATTATTATATAAGCTAGCTAATAAGGCACAATTCTGAATTCTATAATGATAAACTATCTCAGCAATGTCGACAAATCCACTTACCATATTTGCCATATATGAAATGACAATACTGCCCCATCTCATACAGACCCAAACGGATGATTGCCGACTTGGTATTAGCTCCAAGTTTCAAACCGTCCACCACTCCAGCAGCTACAGAGAGAATATTTTTCAAAGCACCACAAATCTCCACCGTGGTAACGTCATCTGTCCAAGTCAACTGGAGGTTATCAGACTGAAAGAGGAGAATTTTAAGCGAAACATTCTAGTCTACTAGAAATCTTATCAACCATCCAGCTTAGTTTATCTCAAGTCTGTTTCTCTACTTACAGACCAATTCAACTCGGCCTTCAGTGGCTTACCATTTGCAAAATCACTGGCCCTCGAAGGCAAGGAATGGGTGGGTTCATTATTCAAGGAAGCAAAGATTGCAGTGAGAAAAAATAATTATTGATTCTAAGATTTTATGAGAAGGAAAGTGGCAAGTTAGAAATAATAAAGATGGTTATTATTTTTGAAAATCTCCCTTTTAATATTACCGTTACAGTGAGACTCTAAATGAAATTAATTCCAAATATGTGACATTGTTCAAAAACACCCCCAATAGATCAAGTCTATGTGATTCAGTGGTGGTGTAGCTCAGATCTCTACATAGGGCCAGTTATTTGAACATGCTGATAAAATTTCTCCCTCCAAATTTTAACCAAAGTAAAATTGAATAGGCATACATGAATTGAACTGGTGTATATATGACGCTTTTAAAAGATAAAACAACTACATCTTATTACTGATAGTCAATATTACTGAACATATATATTAGCAGGTCAAAATAACCAGTCAAATATCATGAACACTCAACCTAGTATAGAACTTCTTTCAGGTCGTTGAGACTACAGGTTATAAAATCAATAATGCAGAGTCCACTTTGCCTAGTACCAATTTTAGACAATTCTAACTTCTGACAAATAATGAGTTTCACATTCTTAAGACTACGTCGAAGAGGATAATTTAAATAGTTAACAGTTTTACTTACGTGAAGAATCTGCTTAATTTCTTCAGAGTCCTTCTGACATTTAGCACCAAGTGTAACCTCACAGAACTCTCCACCTGCAAGCCCACGAGCTGTCAGAGCACCACTAATAACTATAGATTCGAGTCCCGTCACTCGACGAATTTCCTCGCTGACTAACACGATATCTGGTTGTACGAAACTGCTAGCTGACTCACGGACGACCAAGCCCTAAAAGCAAATTAAAATATATTTCCAATCTCGTAACTTTGACGTGGCATTTTAGGAAATACATTCACCTTAGAGAAAGAAACGAAGAGAACATCTTTTTTTAGATGTGACTTTACAGCATCCAAAATTTCAGTGACGTGACGAGTGGCATAAGCAAAAAGAACAACATCTGCGGCTTCAGCGACAGCACCAGCATCATCAGAAATAACTACATTTTCCAATATCTTAACTCCAGGAAGGTACTTTTTATTTTCTCCGTAAGTTCTTATGTGCTCCTTGAGATCACAGTCACAATATTTCTCATCTCTGACATACCACAGAACCTATTCCATTTCATCATTATAGCGTATCAAAACCAAACAATACCTTTGAATTGTACCCAGGCAAACTCAATAATCTTTCTGCAACTAAATTGCACAACACAGTGCCCATTGAACCACATCCGAGAACACAAACTTGCTTCATCACAACCATAGAGGTAAGGATATATAAGGAAACAAGCGCCCAAACTATGACCTTAGTTTTTCATTATAGGGATTGGAATAAACAAAACTAAAAACTCATTCTATATTACTATTTTTAACAACAAAAACAATTATTTACCTTATGAAATTGTAATGGAACATGTTTTGAATGCTTTACATCTTTCAGAATAATTCGTAAAATAAGTCCGAGTTATGCTTAAAATGTAATATTGGCGTAATGGTTCCCGAAATTACATGTTCACGGACCTAACCTAACACAATATTAATTAATATTGTTCGGATGAAATATGACTAAGACACTGATTTATTGCCTTGCTAAATGGAAAAATATATATTTATTTATATTAAATTGTAGGCTTTATGAATGTTATCAGTAGCCCTTTTGTTATCTTTAGTAACGACATCAAAGTCACAATGAGTCGAGAGTAGAAACAGAAATTGATTCACAGATGTAAGAGAGATATACATAATTGTCGGTATAATGATTTGAAAAGTACTGTGGATGTGATCGAATGAGACATGTATATGCATATATATATGCATATATATATATATATATATATATATATATACCTACATATATCTATCAGCAGCACTAAAGATTAATGGCAGTGGTGCAGGTTTTCTTGTGATGGTAAGTTATTAATTCATCACCTTCCATTGAGTCAAATCGTGCGATGCTAGCCTTGATCTCTCCTTAATTTTAGAATATATTTAAGTAGTTGGAGGTATAACAGAATAGCGGATGATTTATCCCCTCAATGATGAGGTTAACGAGTCAAAATCGTTAAATCACGTAAGAAATTATTCTTCTACAGCTACTGTCGAACATGAGTACTTTTTGTTTTTGGATGTTTTGAAAAAATCGAGGATGATAAATAATTCGATTACAACAAAAGACGAGTTTGGTTTGAGCGTTTTCGACAAGTTAACCTGTTTGTTGAGTTGCCATTTTTCTCTACAAGTGTTGTGGAATAGTGCATGAATTTTTGTTTCGTTTACACTCCTGCTTTGCTACTATAACATGAAAAGAGTGCATTCCAATGATAATAACTTGGCCGATACGGCATAACTACCAGAATATCATTTCCGCAGTTGAAATGAAGTCGAATGAAGCTTTTGCTCACTCCGACATTGCACTGATTCCATTGTAAATTATTATTACGAAATCCCTGTCATTGTATTCTATTGTTGATTAAATCATTTTGATTGGAAGTTTCGAGGTAAGTCAAACTTATTTGCCCATTGTAAATGGATAGCACTTCTCAATAAGCCCACAGGGAGACGTGGAATTAGAAAACTACAGTAGTCGGATCTTTAAATTATAGTTATTGGTGGATGAGAAGAAATAGAAACAATAGACATTATCATTTCGGACAGGTCAAGGTATACGAAACAATTTAACATATGTATAATTATCTTAAGACATGCACTTCAAGAATATAGGACAACATGTAATAAATCCGGGGAAAAGAGGTGGGTATATTTTTGACAAGCTTTTCTATGTCCATATTTCCTACAACTTTATGCATTTCACAGAATGAGGGACAGAATTTTTATTTACAGAAATGGCGTGAGCATCGACTTACCTTTTCTATCAGCAGCACCAAATGTTAAGGGCATGGAAAAGGTGTCTAAGTTACCATACAGAAAGGAAATCTGCACAGTTGCCTGTGACGGTAAGTTGACTGTTCAATATCGTCTTTTGAACCAACACCACACGATCTCAACTTTCATCTCTCCTTCATTTTAGAATATATTTATGTGATTGGAGGTAAGACAAGGGAAGGGTCTATTTGTTCCAATGCCTTAAAAGTAAATCCTTGCAATGGCGTGGTGGCAGAGACTGCACCAATGACAGAGGGAAGATATTCGGCTTCCGCAGTTACTGTCGGCCATGAAATTCTTGTTTTTGGGGGTCGAAGCAATAAAGAAGTTCTTTCCACCTGTGAAAAGTATTCTCCGTGGAATTATAGGTATGCATTGAGTGTTTTTACGTTATGATAAACTGTGCTTACCTCCATTGGAGTATTAGTTGATTTGCCATGATTGCATTGGCATTGGACGCCTTATGTGCTCTTGTTTAGACCATAGGCTTCTGGCCATCCTGTTTACTAGAGCAGTGGGTGAACCTGTCTGTACCTTCTGGAGACCGTCATTTTGAACTTCCTTTAATGTAAATCCCTATCATTTCAAGTTTGAACCAAAATTGAATGGAGACCATCATTGTAGTTTTTGAGAGAGTGTATTGTATTGTGAAATATCGCAAATCTTACAACTTCGTATCCCCAATTCCTTTGAGGCAATTTTATTGCAACATAAATGTTCTTTAAATTTACGCTTGATTGCCATCACATGTCAAATTACATTTAGTCGTTGTGAGGTAAGTGAAGCCAGTTTGCCTATTTCAGATGGATAGCACTTCCCAATATGACTACAGAAAGAAAATATTGTGGAGCAGTACACGTGCCGGATCAAGGAGTTTTAGTTCTTGGTGGATATTGCGTACTAAATTTTCGCAATACAACCCTAAATACAGTAGAATTGTTACTAAGTTCTGAAAACAGTCCAACTTGGTGCTCAAGGACTTGGTGCTTGGTGACCAAGGACCTCCCCTGCAGTAGAATTCTTCAAGGGGTGCGTTTATGTTGCCGGTGGTTCGAGTACACAATCACAGACAGCAGAGGTTCTTTCCTTTAGTGATGGCCTACCAGATCAGTGGACGGTGATTCCGCATTCCTTTCCCTTTAATGGTGATTTACTTTCATTGTTGTCAGTGAGTGACCATCTCTACGTTGGAAGTAAGTATTTGTATATTTCTATGTTGTTCTTACAAGCCAACACCAACTCCCTCTAAGTTAATTGTTAAAACAGCAACTGGAACAAAAGTTGCAAACCAAGGAACTCTCCTGAAGTAGAATTCTTCAAGGGGTGTGGTTACGTTGCCGGTTCTCCCACTACTAATGCATGGGATGCAGAAATTCGTTCATTAATTGTCGGCCTACCAGAGCAAAGACGACGATTCGTAACCTTCCAGCTTCAATGTTGGCTGTGAGTGATCATCCTTTCGTCAGAAGGAAGAAGTCCAACATTTTTGTGTTGTCCTGTCAAGTCAATACCTCCTGTCTATGTCTTAAAATAGCTGCAGTTCAAAATATTTTTATACTGGAAGCGTAAGGGAAATTAAATCTCATTTAATACTTACCTGTAAATCTAGAAGTGTTGAAATGCGCACTTCTTGTTCGATAGAAATCAAAATGATCACAGTTGGAGACTTCTGCTTTTTGCTGTGGAGGTAAGTCTATCGCACACCCCTGTTTTCTTTCACTTGTTCTAAATTTGATGGATGATGAAACAGAAATTAATATTCACCAGAGTCAGAATGGTGAATTTAAGTTGTTACCTCATCACCATCATTTACTCTAGAACCAAATGATCTTGACTTTGATCTCTCGTTCATTCTCAACCATATTTGTGTTATTGGAGTGGTAATATAGGAAGTGGTACAATATTTACAGAGTTGTAAAGGGTAATTCCTGCAGTTGAAATCACAAAGTATATGCTCCAACACCTGTGAGAAATATTCTAAGTCGGAATATGAGTAAGTGCAGCGTAGTTACCCAATGAATATTATTGGAGTATTGAAAGACTTGCCATATTTACGCTGCCATTTGACTCTTCGGGTGTTCTAGGTTACGACATGGGTTTCTGACACCCTAACCTTTACCTTGAAGTTTTAGTTCTTGTAGAATTAGCTGAAATATGAACAATAGATTTTATTACACCCGAATTGTTTCAAGCATCTTCAGACAAATCATCTCCGTATTCTTCAATCCATTGTTGGAACCAAGGATCTCTCCTGAAGTAGAATTCTTCAAGGGGTGTGTTTACGTTGCCGGTTCTGTCACTACTAACGCATAGGGTGCAAGGGTTCTTCCATTTATTGTTGGCCTACTAGAGCAAAGACGATGATTCGTAACCTTCCAGTTTCAGTGTTGGCTGTGGTTGACCATCTTTTCGTCGGAAATATGTAGTCTTATAATTTTGCGTTGTCCTGTCAGGCCAATATCCCATGTCTATAAGATAATTCATAAAATAGGTGCAGATTAATATGTTTTCCAAATAGAAACATCTCCTGAAGAAACGTGAGTGATATTGCATCTCATTTAATACTTAACTATAAATCTAGAACCGCTGAAATTCCTACCTCCTGTAGGAGCAATCTGCTTCAAATGCCAAAGGCGCACGAATTAGAGCCTCTCCGAATCCTTATAAGCAATTAATCTTCCCACATTTAACCGAGAAAGTATGTTAAAACTGATTAAATTCCATTTCACTCAATTTTTGCCACCTCATTACATAATTAATTGCTTTAAAATTTACAGCCCCACTCGTGCCTTTGTCCAATTCACAGTATGAAGGAAAATGACGTCGAGGTGATGAAATTCCCATTCCACGTCAAACCGCCCCATCACGACTTCTACCATTTAGCCCCCCCCCCCTACCCCCCAACCCCACATCCACATATTCACGCGGTTCTTTGGAACTGGTGTAATCACTGCAATGCAGAAGTGCCATTTGTATAACCCATTCCACTTCGTTTCAAACATAATGCATGCAAACAACAACTGTTGTGGGTCCCAATGGGTATTTGCACGCAAACAGTGGGCTGAAGAGGGCACTAATTACTTTTTTAGAGAGTACTATTTGCTTCTATGCCTGCCAATATTCGGCCATGCAGTCATAATTAACTTGAGGAATTTACGTCTGTGAAGATAGGTTACACTATCAAGTTCTAAATCATTCCTGATACCCCCTACTAACCCAAAACAATATCAAGGTCACTCACCTATGGAGTGAACTAGTTTATACGGGATGTGTGTCTGTCACAGAGATCATTTATCGAAATGCAATGCAGTGGATGTAGATTGGTGGTTGGCTGATTGGTCAGTGCTCCCACGACCGCACTTACTTCTAACGCGACAATTA